GCTGGCCTATCTTTTAAGACCCCAACTCACTTCAAACCAATACCACCCAGAAATGTGTGTACTCATTTGGTGTCTTTGGATTTGAGTAGTCTGTACAACTTGAACTCTACAGCTTTCCCAGCTGAGCCCAAAAATAAACTGCATTTGGCCAAAGAATCTGTGTTCAACAGGAACCATTGCAAAAACAATTGCCCCAAATGTGTGGTCTGATTCTGAGAATACTTTACACCATTTTCTTTCTCTTTATACCTGTATATCATTTGCTTTCATAAGTGATTAATTTTACTGTGCTGCAATTGCTAAGAGACAGATTCTCCAATTAATAGACATTATAATGACTCCACACATCCATTTGAACAACTGAAACAAAAATATTCTCACTTACAGGATTCTTGGAACTGAGCCTATTTCCCCGGAAAGCACAGCAAAATCTGGTATCACTCTATCCAGGCTAATCTTGGTTCCAGTTGATTTGGCACAGTCTCCCTTCAGGGGCTCCCTAGCTGAAAGTTCCTTTTCGATTTAGTCATCTTAGCACAGAAGGAGAGAGGTGCTAGCATTCAGAGTAATAACTGAATAACTCCAGCAATAATAACTGAAAAAATGAGTGCCTCACTCAAGGGCTCTCCTATCCAGTAAGGCTGAATTTCGGTCAAAAACTAGCTTTCAAAGGATCAAGGAACCACTCCGAGCAGACTCTGAAGTCATCTTGGATATTTTCTCCTTTCCTAACTTAAAAAAATGACAAAGTCACAAATACGTTTACAGTATTCTCTGGGAGATGCAAACTGCTGTAGGGGAAAGGGAACATGAGTTTAAAGACACAGGTCCTCGTTCCACCTATACCACTAACAAGCTGAGTGAACATAAGTGTCTTCACTTCACTGCCTCTCAGTTTCACTGACTGTATTGCGAGGAATTTGGACCTCTAAGGCCCCTTACAGCCCCCAGAATATATTGTCTTACTTTCTACTATTTGTCTCAGTATCTCTGAAAGTTAAATTTTCCAAAGCAAGACTTTTACACCTAAAAATCTTTTTTCATTATGTAGCTAGATAAATTATACACCATAAAAAATCAAATTGCCTTTTATTGGCTAAATATGTCAAGTTGTCCCAGTGAGTCTCACTGTGTACTTTTCTTACCATTTTGTGCCATCTTCCTTGATCCCACTCTATTAAAAGCCCTCATCAAAGAGTGAGCTGCATCACAGACTCCATGCTCCTGGCATAATGATAGAGGACGGAGGGCATTAACCTTAACTTTGGACTCTGGTCAAACTTAACGGTAATTAACTTTGCTCCTGTTGCAAGAGGTCTGAGATGAGAAACCAGGAACAATTTAAATACAGACACTGGCCCCACATCCACCTCTGTTCTGATCTTTATGATCACACCAGTCTTCCCACATGAAACCACCAATCCCCAGGTGCGAGGCGTTAACTTACCCTGGAGCTTAGCTGGGATAAGCACTCTTGTTTCTTTGCAGGGAGCAAAGGGTAAAAAGCTTTACTCTGGCAGCATGGATCCTGCTAATAACTGACACATTTGTTGTTGAAAGAGGAAGTTGAGTTTATCTGGTGTCTCACCACAGAAACCTTATTTTCACAGATGACAGGTAAGTCCCTTGAGCAAATGACGTTACTCAAATTTCATTTTTTTAATTTAATTGGTGGAGAGAAATTCAAATAGCAGGGAGTCAGAGGCTATACATACTCACACAATGGCTATATAGCAACCTTCCTCACCTTACCTGTATCCTTGACAACTGACATACCTAGACTCTCACTAGTTTCCAGTAGTTTCCATGGTAAGATGAAATTTTCAGGCAAATCTAAAGAGTGTTTACCTAGTAACAGGAAAGCTGCAGCTTGTGCAAGCCTGAGAGGCAAAGGCTGAGGAAACCTAAAAAATACAAGTTAAAATTAGAAACAGTAGAAGTACCTCTGTTTATGATGTTCCCTCCATCTGGAGTGCCTTTCTCCCAATCCCTTCATCTCGAGGCTCACAATGTAATACATAATTTGGGTTATTTTTGTATATTTATTAGTCCTTTACTAGACTACACATTGCTTGAGGGCAAAGATCATGTCTGACTCATAGCTGTATTCCCAACTTGTCCAGCACAAGGCATTTTCATGAATTGTTATTAAATAAATGCATATGGGAATTAATGAATAAACAAATGTTCAAAGGATGCATGAATAAATAAATGAACATTATTGATTACAAAGTCTCACTTCAGTGTACTAAAATTCTTGTATTCATGTACAGTGTATATGGGGCCTTCAAAACCATGTGAATACAGAAATATCACATGCTTGAGGACTATAGTGTCAACTAAGTCTGAGAGTAATTTTGAGAAATAAGGTTTAAAATGCAGCACAAATCTCTGTGGATATGTAAGCAAACCACATTCAAAACCCAGGACCAGCAGCTGCAAAGAGCTTTCTGAATAACAATCTTAGCAAAGGAGACAAAATAATTACTGTAGGATGGGTCAAACTGGAGAATTTTGACACATGGATAAGACCGATTAAAGAAAAAAGTGGATGACAACATTCTTACAGGAGGGCAACCTGGATAAGGAACAAGCTCTTTTTATAGCACTGGAACCACAAGCGAACTAAGTAGAACCGCACCCAACATTCAAAGATGTCCAATACAAATCACAAGAGTGTCAGGAGATGGAAAAGAGAAGCTGTCAGCATTGGAAACTAAGAACTTGGAAACGTCATAACTTGTGAAGACTGGCAAAGGGAGACGGTACTCATCCTGGCTGATATATGTCAAATGAAACAAGTTTAATCTTGCAATCCCCTTCTTAATTTTGATTTCAAATATTTATTCAGCTCCTACCTGTTGTTAATTTAGTTTTCTGACTTGGCATCCCTACTGAAAAGAGAATACACTGACAGGCCAATCCACATCTCAGTCCTTTTGGCAGTTCTTTTCCTCACTATGGCTAGTATGAGCCAGTTTTCTTAGGGTAAGATTCTCCTCTGAACAAACAAACAAACAAAAAGTTCCAGACCTGTAAAACCCTGGTATAAAGAAAGAAAATAAATCCTTTTCTTACAATTGGCTATCATCACCACATCCCAACTTTATTTCATAGACAAAACCTTCACATCATGAGAAGGAAGCCTGCCAGTTTACTTCATTTCTGTCTTGCATGCAAGTATGTTCTTCTATCACTAAACCTAAAAAGGGAAGTAAAAGAAAACCAGAAGTCAGTGTCTCAATTCAAATGTAGAAAAATTTTTTTAACTCAAGTAAATTTTGAGTGTTAATTATTCATGTGGTTTGCCTCTGTGTCCCCTCCCAAATCTCATCTTGAATTGTGCTCCATAAATTCCCACTTGTTGTGGGAAGAACCTGGTGGGAGATCATTTGAATCATGGGAACAGTTTCCTCCATACTGTTCTCATGGTAGTTAATAAGTCTCATGAGACGTGATGTTTTTATAAGGGGTTTCTGCTTTTGCATTTTCCTCATTTTCTCTTGCTGCCACCATGTAAGAAGTGCCTTTTGCCTCCTACCATGACTGAGGCTTCCCCAGTCATGTGGGACTGTAAGTTCAATTAAACTTCTTTTGCTTTCCAGTCTCAGGTATGTCTTTATCAGCAGCATGAAAATGAACTACTGCAATTATAATAAACAAATCTGTGGAGCAACAAAGCAAGCTTGATAACCTAACAATCATCTCCAATTAACTTTTAGAAGAAAGTTTCTAGTTACTAGGTGTGACTTATGGTCCACAAATCATTATAAACTGAAACCAAGTAATAAGTACCCTACTTATAATAGTCTTAAAAATAGTACAGTTGTACTATTTTACCAATATTTCTAAATTCTTCCCTTATTCTTATGTATGCCATCAAAGTTTACTTTAATTGATAAATTATGTCTCCCATAGGCTGGGGAAAATTCATGATTTGGTGCTTCAAAGTCTTTTAATTTTAACTGTATCAATAAATGAGGAGTGATAGCTATTGCTGAGGATATTATTCATTACCATGTATTGTGTTTCCTAGGAACCCCAGAGCTCTATGTGATTTAGTATTAGGAGAAGCTAGAGTTTTTTCCTAAGCAAATGGTTAGATTTTATTTTTTATGAACACTGACTTTATAATTTGTCATGTGTCTCTTTTACAAAGTCTGAAATCTTGAACCAACTTAGAGTCTACTGGTAGCAACTGTGGAGATATTTTATGGTGTGCTTTGTGGGATTTGTTTTTGTCATATCTCAATTTTTATGTCTTTGCCAATTTTATTATTATTATTATTTATCTACTCTTAACTTATATTACCTTCTTATAACATTCTACCTTTGAAACAATTTCCAGTCATTTCTGGAACATTAGTGGAATCAAAAAATGAAAAATAAAGGACAGAGTGAACTGCAAACCTCAATTTTTTTTTAATTAGAGCTAGTGAAACTAAATTGCTTCAGATAAACTACCATCAAGAGTTTTCCATGTCTGATTATATATCTGCAGAGTATTCCTATGCATTTTTAGAAACTAATCATTTAACAAATACTTAATGAACTACAACAATGAGAAATTTCTCCAAAGCTGTGTGGGAAGGCTGGGTTTTGGAAGCAAAAACTGTATTTCCTATCCTCCAAGGTTCCACAGGTTAAATGACAAGTTAATTACTCATCAAATGATTAGAAAATATAGCATAGTATATGATTTACTGTAAATTTGTGTGAAAATTGAGAAGACAAATTAACCATGGGCTGAATATGTTGGAGGTGATTTTCTGGTCCTTTCTTGATGGGCAAGTTTTGCTTAAAGCAGTGTCTCCCAAAATATAAAATGTGTCCTAGTGGAGACATATCAAGGTTGTTGTATTTTAGATAGTACGAAGAAAAGCTTAAAAATTAAAGCTATATATTCATTAAATATTTCAAATATAATAAAATTAGCCATACAAATATATTATTTCTTAGATAATATATCTTAAGAAGAGGCTAAAGTGGGTAACTAAATTTTAAATCCTGTGATTATTTACAAAAAAAAGAAAACTACAAAAGAAATCCCACAAAACTATAAAGGATAAGCAAATAAAATCTGCAGAGGAACACTTGAGTGTCTGAAGTTCAGAAAATTTAAAGAGAGTACTGGAGGCAAGGGATTCCAGGAGAGAGAAGGAATATTGCCAAGTACATGAATGGAGAATAAACATGTACTATTTGTGTGAAAGTGAGGACAAAATTTTGTCTGAATCATACAGCATGGTAGGAAACAGAGTGAAAGAAGCTTGGAGGATGGAGTTCTACAAAAATGTCTTAGAGTATACAAGTCCTGGGATACAGGAAATAATTGAAAGGATATAAATAGAGTTGAAGGAGGGAAAATAAAATTATTATTGAGTACTTTCCATGTCCTATAACCATCCTAGGCAACTTGCACACATCATCTAATTTAATTCATCAATCCTATGGAATAGGGACTAACATTATCTCCCATTTTAACCATTAATGAATTGAAGCACAGAGAAATTAGTTAACTTCTCAAAGATTATAAAGAAGGAAGTGGGAGAGGCAAGATTGAGACTCACATCTCTCTGGCTCTCGAGCCTGCTTTCTTTTTACCATTCTCTGAATGATCACTGAAACAATAGTGCACAGAACGGATTGCAGGAGGAGGCAAAAGAGGAGGCGAAGCCCTCTTTTAGAGGATAGATCTTTATGTTTGAGGTAATTAGAGCCTGAATTGGAACAATAACAATAATTAAGATAGAGGGTAGTTCAAAAAATATTTTTCTCAAATAACTCTTAAAACTGTAATCAGCAAAATGAAAGAGGAAATTAATTTTCATGAATAAGAATAAATAAATCTTTGAAAGGGTTCAATATTTGCATATTTTCCATTAAGACATTTTTAGAGTCATATGAGGAAGTATAACTTCTTTCAGGGAAAAAAACATAATTTGTAGCTGGAAACGAGGTTCTTTTTTTCTGAAATTCAAAAGCTTGTTTTGGAGACAGGTTTAGTGCATGGCCAGTCCTTGAGGGTCCCTGTGAGGAATCCGTAGTCTTGACATGGAAAATGATTCACATAATATGAATTTTTAATGAATTGTGTTTCAGAAAATGTTCATAAGAAGAGATATTATTCAGTCAAATTACTGGCCATTTGGGTCAATGTGCTGTGAATTAACCAGAAAAATGAGATTTCAATAAATTGTGAGTGATCTCTTTGGTGCCCATTTAGTCAAAGCTGTAAACAATGAGCAAGAGGCAAAGGAATGAGGCAAAGAATGGCATCTCTTGTCTCAGTTTTATACTTCAGGCATTTTGCTATGAGATTTATTAACTTTCATATGTGTCACCAGGATTGACTATTGGGAAAATAGTGGAATAGGTGAAGACTATATTTGCACCCTATTTTTCCCTACTAGCCTTTTTATTCAGCATCCTTCTCAAGAATATGATGTGTTTCCAGACCCTCCGAGTTTCTATTCTTACAAAATAATGTGGTCTGAATAGGCCCTTCATATTAAAAAAGAAAAAAGTATTTAGGAAGAGAGCACTACAAACACAGAATAATAGGTTTTAACT